TATTTTAGAACATACCTATTCCCCCCGGCTCCTTAAGCTCCCCCCCTGGGTTTCCTGGATCACTGTCAGTTGCCAGGGGGGCTTTCTTTCGGTGCTTTTCCCCTTTTTGCCTCCCTGCATTGTGCCTACATATGCAAATTAACCGCCATCTTTGTTGGCCGTTAACCGCCATCTTGGCTGGGGATTAATTTGCATATCTCGCTAATTAGCCAATGGGAAGGGTAGCGGTCGTACGCTAATTACCATGTTTCTCTTTTATTAGATTAGACTAGAGGCCTGGTGCACGAAATTCATGCACAGGTGTCTGGCATGGAAGGGCAGGTCCCAGCGACCTCTGGGCCCTGAGCAGCACCTGGGCCCCTAGGCCCCACACGCCCCCCTCTGCCTGAGTCACGGCACCCGAATCCCCACACAGAGATGCGGTGAGTGAGGCCAGATGCTGCAAGCCAGGGCACAACATGGGCCTTTGGGCCGCCCAGAGGCACCGCACAGAAGCCAGGCAGGCAGCACGCTCCCTCCCAGCCAGCCTCGCAGACCAGCTCCTGTGCAAACCCACAGGGAGCCCGACTGGCCACTGCGGTCCCAGGGGCTGTGGCCCGGCTCACCCGGAAGAAGCTGTGCAGGTGCGAGGTGTGCTCCTTGCGGGCGCCGGGCCCCTGAGCGTGGGGGCTTCCCTGGTGCACAAGCCCTGGTGTCCCAGGGGAGGGTAGCAGGCGGAGTGAGAGCGAGCTCAGTGGACACCTGCATTCTCTCTGCACCTCCATCCCCATCACCCCCTGTCTATTTCCAAATACAGTCACAAGGGGAAAGGTTAGGGATTCAGTTTGCATAAAGGGAGAAGTTCGGGGGCCACAATGCAGTCCATTACACTACCCTCAAATTACTCAGTCTTTCTGGTAACCTGTTCTTCCTAGGACCCCCACCCTAAGTCACCTTATTTGCATAAACTCAAGTGATCTTTTGAAAGAACCTCATTATGAATAACAAACTCCTATCAAAAAAATTCCAAGGGTTTTAGGAACTCAGAGCCAGGGAGTGGGAAGAAAAGCCAAATACATATCCTATACCACACTAAATTATAAAAATCAAATCTTTTACAAAAGATATTTAAATGACAATTTTTTGTGCTCAATTATGAAATTGTATTTTAATGGCACAGCTAGAGTTTGAAGAGATTTGAAGACTTCCTAATACCCCAAATTGGATATTACATAGAAATTACAAGTTAAATAGAATATATATATATTCCAAATGGAGATTTGGATTTATAATACACAGGTCCAAAAATTTACCAATTCTAAATACTAGCATAAAGGCTTCTAGATAAAAATATGTTTCAGAGCCATATGATGAGAATATTTATTGAACTATCCTTGCTAATAAGTATTAAGCAATTATATAACTATCAATTAAGACTTTAGTCACAAGTAACACAAATGAACTTAAGCTACTTTAATTTAAAAAGTGAACAATTGTATTTAAGTCAATTGAACTTCGAACAACTCAAGGGTCAGGGGCTGTGAAATTACCCCCACAACCTCCAGCCCTATGCAGTGGAAAATCACTAATGACTTTTGACTCCCAAAAAACTTAATTACTAATAGCCTACTTCTACCAGATGCCTTACTGGGAACTGAGAACATAGTCCATTAACACATATTTTGTATATTATATATATTATATCTTGTATTCTTATAATAGAGTATGCTAGAGAAAATAAACTGTTATTAAGAAAATCATAAAAAAGAGAAAATACATTTATAGTACTCTATGTACTTATTGGGTGGAAAATCCACATACAAGGAAACCGGTGCTATTTAATCCAAGTTGTTCAAGGGTCAACTGTATATTGAAGTGCCTCGTGCATCTAAAGGGCAGGGATGGAGTCAGTTTTAGTAAGGCACTAGAACCCAAACAGTCTTTAGCAATCCATGAAATACTATTTTTCTACCTCACAACTCTACTTCTCGCTGTCATGTGGTGTTGTGTGTTTTTTTTTTTTGTCTTGTTCTGTAGCCTAGCTTTATCTGCTTCTTTGATCCCATCCTATATAATAAAGAGCTAATATGCTAATTATACCTGACGGTGGAACAACCTTCCAGAACAACCTTCTGGAAAAACTAGTGGGCGGCTGCAAGGGCCGAACCCCTTGCATAAATTTCATGCATCGGGCTTCTAGTAATAGTATAAGATCTAATATTCACATATTAGATTTCCCACCACTTATCAGCTGTCTAGAGCTATAAAAGCCAGGAGGGTAGGTAGAATTGTAAACTATAAACATGATTGTTAATTGCATATATCTGTGAATTGATGGTTCCTGGAAGAGGAATCATTTTATAAAAAATTGCCATATACTTACCAAATTACTTGAATGAATGTTTAAGGATCTACCAGAGACATCAATTTGCATAAAGGGAGAAGAGATTATTCCAAGACTACTCTGAATTAAAAATAAAATAAAATAAAAATAGCAGTTTATACGGCTCCCAGAATCACATTCATTACTTTTCGTATATTACCCATTATCAAATAGTACAAAAAAAATAGTACAAAAGATCTTTGGAGATTAACAATTAAAGTTTATAGGCAACAGTGCTTTTGTTGTTTCAACACGTTAAACATTTCATTGAACTCAATGAAGAAACTAATAAGATGTTAGAACTAGTAAAAGGTAGAATCTAAGAACAGACATAAAAGCAGTTAGAAATTCTTAAAAGAAGTTGCTAATAGATATAAGACTGGCTAATAACCTATAGGGCAATAAAATCTAAAGGAGTCATCTTTTCTACAGAGCAGAAATCAGTAGTAGTTCATAGTTTATTTGCATTATTCTCCATTTTCTAAAATTTAACTTCTAACTTTACAGAGTTGTAAACACCCTGCCAATAGAAAGACAGTCACAGGTATACACCCCTTTAGAAAATACCCAGAGGATCCATTAGATAATACCTACCACTTCACTAAAAGGATATTCA